AAATTGTGGTTAATGATAGCCATAAGCTTATTAAGCATAAGTGGGAGATTGTTAGATATGCTGTAAAAGCTTCGCTTTCAGATATGAACAATTCCATTTTGATCTGGCAATCATGTTTTAGTCAAAGTACATATGATTGCAGTTTATTTATTTATGCAATCATACTCCTTGTCTTACATTGAGATAGTGTGGTTCGTGGTGTCTCGAACAGAAAGATCACCTATCTGTTCTTTGTAAGACTAAACTATTTGTTCACAGTCTAGACAGACAGTGAGACCCCTCTTGGAAAAAGACTGTAGTGTATTATAGATTCAGTTTATCTTTGACTAGGGAACTACAATAGCACTTATGATAAGTATTGAACAGGACCGTAGAAGGATAAGATCATGAGATTCACTGATCGTTGTTGTAATCTAGACCTTCGGTTATTGATGCGTTCTCTAAAGCTGTAAGATAATATAAAACGGGCATGTATACTCATTATATGTTTATTTGATTTACCAAGGTTGATTCCTATTCTGTTAGGACGACATACTCAGTAATTTGTTAAATAAGGATGTTTATATGGTGTGTTGTTATAAATTATTTACGGTCACTATGTCCCAGGGTTGACGACGTCCCAAAAATGAGCTCAAAAAGGAATATTATGTTAAACCCTGCAAGTGGATGATTATCCAACATAATGATTAATGATCTGAGTGGTACTAATTTCGGAAATGAATAAAAAGTCGATTAATTATTTTGTCAGTAATTTAATTAATCGACGGACTTTATATCTGAAACATAGGGAGGTAAATCGGTCAATTAGATTAATATTTATTAATCAATTGGAGGTTTGATTTATTGAATAAATTGGAGCTAAATGGGGAGAGCAATAATATTACTCTAGTGGAATGTATTATTATTTAATTCTAATTAGGATTTTAGGAATTAATTTTATTCCATAATTAATATTCCATTAGGAGATGAATAATCCTTCTAGAATATTACCTAAGGTTAGGAGACTAAGGAGACTTCTAGAAGGTGATGATTAGTAGAAGGAATATATCCTAGATTGGAAAGATATGTGGAGTAGAATTATGATTCCTTTGCCTAATGGGATAAGCCCATATTTAGCACCTCCTTAAGGTCCCTAATGGAGCTTATAAATACACCATGTCTCAACCTCTTGAGGAACACTTGTGATACTCGATTTTTCTTTCTTCCTAAGAGAGAAAAATTGTCTTTTTCGAGAGTTAAGGAGATTTAATTAATCGCACCACCAAGATTAATTGAAGTAGGTGTTTAGGTAATCCATTAGAAGATCTAGAGGTGATATATTTCAAACGTTGAAGATCTATATTTTCCGGCTACATCCCACTGCCGGAATTTGCTATTGCCGCCCATCGATGCCGGAACCCTACCCGAGCCCAGCCGCACGCAGCCCCGCAACCACACGCAGCCGAGCCACTCCAAGGTCCCAGCGACGCACCGCGATGCCCGGCAACCCCACGCATCACCGGCACGCTGCCTCTGCACGTCCTTGCTCATGATCTGCGCGACCCGACGTCCAAGATCCACGCGCGCGCCATTTCGTGCCCGACCAGGAGTCCCTAGACGTTCACCCGCGTAACCATACACACCCCGCGCTAGTCCGCCCAGGCATAGAAGTCTCGACTGCACGCGCCTGCGCCACTTGCATCTACCCGACTCGCACCGTCTGTCCGCGCATCACGTTCACGATGAGCCTCATCCAGCGAAACTGTGCACGTTCGCGACCGAACCGCTGCACCTCTGACCGAGACGAACCGCCTGAGTTTTGACCAAGTCAACCTGTGAATCGAACCTTGCCCAACCGGCCCGATCCCGACAAGCCCGATCTGGTGATCTGTTCTTGATTCAACAACTCGATCAGAATCGAGAAAGGCCAAACCCTTCTGCCCATCGGGTTGTGATAATCAGACAATCTCCATCAACGGAAATCAGAAACGTCTCTGAGTCGGCAAAATTTTAAAAGGTAATGTCCTAGGGCTCTTTGATTTCACTTCCCTTTGCTTCGTTTGTATGGTCGAGACTCACTTTGCTCTCCTCTTCAGTTTCCATTCCCCTTTCTCTAATACCCACAGAGCGGTAAGCTTCATAACTCCAACCTAGTAAAGGCTTAACTATAGATTCCGCAGCATGTCGTTAATTAGGATTTATTTCGATAAGTTCAATACTGTGCATGTCGTTAACGTTCCTAATAAAACCCAACAAGTCTGGCGGCCGGCGCATTTATGTGTGTGTATATGTGTGTGACCAGATGTGTGTGTGAGTGTGTTGTGTGTGTGTGTGTGTGTGCGTTCGCGTATGTGTGTCTGATAGGTGTGTGTGTGTGTGTGTGTGTGTGTGTGTGTGTTAGTGAGTGAAAGAGAAATTTGTGGGTGGGTTTGAAGTTTGAACGATTTAATTGGGGTGGTGAGAGTGAGACAGCTTGTCATTAATTAGGAGGTGGGGCCCACTGGTTTGATGATTATTCATGTATAAAAAGTCTAAACTACTCTTAATGAATGTTTAATCGGTTGGATCACCCAATCCAATGGCCACAATGTATTCTTATTTCTTTCACTAAGACTTTTCTCATGTGAACCCAACCCTATATATATATAATATAGAAGTGTGCTCAAATGAGAATGAGTCATAGTGAAAGAAATAAAAATAAATGTAGGCCATTAGATATATTAAATTAATGGTCATGATGGAGTCAAAGTTAGTAATTAAAGTCAAATTCATTAAAGATAATTTAGTCATTTAACAATCATTAACGGTATTTTTGTAATTGACATTAAATTCTAATCACTACTAATGGGTCCCATTACAATCACCAAACCTAAATATCTCTCTCATCTTCACACACAAACACACACTGAACTCACGCAACACACACACACACACACATACATACACACACTCCACTAACAGTCAACGCCGGTCAGATCCACCGGTCCAGTCGCCGGCAATCGAGAGAATTGCCGCCGCAACCGCCTCCTGTCACTAGCCGCAACAGACTCTCGGACTTCCGGCGAAGAGGGCATCCAACACGGTAGAGTTGAAATAGATGGCTCGGTGCCGATTGTGAGTCGCCGGGGGATTATTTTTCGGCGGCAGAGGCGGAGGAAGATGAACGGCGATCTGTGGTTGACGAAGAATTGGCAGCCGCCGGGCGTCAAGGAAGGAGCAGAGGCTTCAAGCTCCCCGTCTCAGACGCTGAAGGCGTCCTGGTGCACACGGCGGAGAAGGTGCACACGGACAGAGGTCAGACGGCGGCGGGCGGATGGCGACGGTCGGAGGGCGTTGGTCAGGGGTTGGTGGCTGAGTGACGGGAATTTATTTTGATGCAATTTATATGTTTTGTTTAGAGACTTATCATTGAGAATTGAACAAGTCATAGAGACTTTGATGCAATTTTAAATTTTATTTTTTTGTATTTTAATGTGTGTGGCATTCTTGTAATTTTTAAAAATTTAAAAATTGCACATTAATGGTACAAACAATGCACAATATTGTTGGTTAAGATGCACATTAAAAAATACATCATAATTTTATTGAACTTACATATTTTACATTGCTTATCGTTCGGTCGGGTTGGTTGTTTCGGCCGTTTAAATAATAATGTCGACTTATAATCAAAATATTCAAACTTTTAAAAGTAAAAAATAGATAATTAAATTGAAATATAAAAAATTCGAACCGACAAAATCTTAGTTCGATCGTTCTCGATCAATAGTGTGCAGTCTTATAGACATTAATGTGCAACTTGTGTAACACGATTGTGCATGGTCTCGGTCGCTACGTGCATCGTAATCTGACTAAACTTTTTATATCAACGTAAATTAAAATTAATCTGAATTATTTGTTGTATTCTACCGGTTAACCGTATAACCTAAATAAACGAACAAATTTATAAGTTATATTAATATTATATCTAGTATTTTAATAATTTCATTTAATAATCTTATATTATCTTTTGGTTGAAAAAGACAGAACATATGAAATCATGAATTTGATTTTGTGCATTCCCACATACAATAATGTGCATTTAATCTAACATTATTGTGCAGCATATTGCGCGTGTGTTCTTTTACTGCGTTAGGATTTTAGAAAAATATTAATCACGTGTATTTCAATTAATATGATTGTGCACTTATCAAATTATTTATACAATAAAATATATTTAGTATTTATAACTTTTATTTAATATTCTATATTATTGTTTATTGAAAATAATTAATATACGTATAAGTTGGTCGGTTATCTTATTTTATTTTATTTTATTTATTTTTTGTAATACTCTAATGTGTATTTTCAATCTATTGTGCATTTGATATGTCAATATTGTGCAGTTTGACTTTCACTAGTGTGCATCTTGATTGGTAATATTGTAAATTATGTAGTGCGAGATATTTTCTTTATCTGTTGGTTAATCGAATTAACTTAAATAACTAAAATAAATTATTATTTATATAAAAAAATGAATATTGTAATGTTTTTATATTCTATTTTGTATTTATTTTTGTTATAATAATAATATATATGGATGTATTAAGAAATACATATAAAATAATGTGTTCTTATATTTTTTTGTAAGTTATAGATTTGTCCCATGGACTAAAGAGAGATATAGTTAAACTTTTTTGAATTTACATATTGACCCCAAGGTTTTAATTAAAATTCTTAAATTTGCAAATCAGTCTTTTAAGTTATTAAATTTCCAAACACAAGTCCACAACCAAAGTTTGTTTCTCAGTCGCTCCCACCAGCGCTCGACCTCCGTCCGACTGCTTCGTCGCAGACGCCGTCCTCTCGTTGGAGGACAACTGATCCGCCGCTGTCGTCAGCCCAAATTTGTTACAACTGATCATAGAGACGTCGCAACGATCGTCAAAGGACAACTGACGGCGACGACCATTGAGGCCCAACGCGCGGTGGCGGTTTCGGGGCTACCCAGTCTCGTCGAATTCCCAAAAAAAAAAAGGAAAATTATGTGTCGTACAAAGACAAAGGTCTTCAATGTGGTGGGGGCACCCAACTCCATGGACGATGTCTCCGTGACGACTGTGATCTGCAGTGATTGCCGATACGACGGAGGGAGGCGAAGTTGTTTTACCGGCGCCGACGATGTAAATTGCCGGCGGTGTATGTAGGTGTAGTGTGTGTTCTGCGTGATTGAAAAAAAAAAGGTACTGTATTTAGTGTGTATTAAGTACGTGTATGCTGTGATTGTTAGATGGTGGGTGGTAGGTGGGGGGTGGGGCCCAATGAAAGAGTAAATGATGTGGTTGGTGTTCGCTAATTATTTTCACTATCCGCAAGTGTACGGAGTAGCTATAGGTAGTGGCGAGCAAGGTCGTATTCTACAGAGATTTTAGTTAAATTAATTAAGTACTAAAATAGTGACGATTAAATATTATCTAGACTAATGAATTGAATGATGAGTATTAACTAATAAATTAAACTAAGAACTAATTTACCTAATAAAATAAAAATAAAACAAGATACAAACGATAGATTCTAGGCTAAGTGTTCCTCGGAATTAATTCATGAAACGTTTATATTCAGACAAACCTTATTTAATTTTACCAATCGTAGAGATAATCGCTAAATTGATTTCAAACCTTTCTCTCGAACAAGTTAAATCATAGATATTAATTGTTATATATCTCCTCTCGGTCTCAAGATGAACAACTAACTCCCATAAGTTCCTAGGATTTTTGTTCTCTCGCAAGGTCCTATCAACCTCTCGGTCTGTTTATTCTCTTACGTTATAAATCTCCCAATTCTAGCAATCAATTATCTCCTCTCGGTCTCAAATCAATCACAAATATGCATTCACAGCGGCCGTCTACTCACACAATAATAAGAAGCACAAGTTTATAAACGAAAGATAAACCGGAATGAAAGAAATAAAAACTAAATCATAAATCAACCTGAGTACTAACAAATCCTAGAATCAAATATAATCTAGCCTGGAAACATGATTTCAAAATAAAAATAAAAAGAAAAATAGATATAAAATATTGAGTTCGAAAGAGGAAAAGAAAAGGAAAGAAAAAGCTTATTTGGCTCCGCCGATCCTTTCTTCCCGACTTTCTCCCTCGTCTTGCTCGTGTTTTTACCCTCCAAAAGTCTCCAAAGATGTGAAAATTATGTCCCAGACTCACAAAAAACGTGTCCAAGGGTTGTATAAATAATTGTCCTAGTCGAAATAGGTCGAAAATACCAAAAAAATAAGAAAAACGCATAAAACGCGTATTGGTCGCGCCCAGGGTCACACGACTCGTGTCATAAGTCACACGAGTCGTGTGTCAATGCCGAGAGCAGGTTTCACGACCCGTCGAAGTGACATGAGCCGTGTGTTGGGCTCACACGCCCCGTGTGTACCTGGGCACAAAAACAGCGCATAACTTCATTTTTCTGCTCGCTTTTCATCTCCTGGTAGAGTTTCCAGCGTCCAAGGCATAATACGGTGGTTAAAACGGCGTTCTGATGGCTGAGCATGAAGCACGAACATGAAATTCCAGCGACGGTCAACACATGCGAGGTGCAGCAGCAACTCTGGGAAGCTCGATTTCGACGAAATTGTGCTCTATGCTGCTCGACGACGTCCCGGGAAGGCTATAGGTGGTCGTACATGGCTAATTCTGGCGGATTCTGGCTGCCAGATTCTTCTCTGGCGTGAGCATGGCATTCGAAAGTCAAGACGAAGGACGGTGGTCTGGGAGATGGACAAGCAGATAAGTCGATCAGTTTCCAACGTTGAGGTGGCTCGGCGACGTGATATAGACGAGCAGCGAAGCTCCGGTCACTCTTTCATGGTAGACGGACGTGTTGTACGTGAACATCTTGAAGAAGAAGATAACTTGTATGAAAAGACCATTGTGCCCATCATTTAATTGGCTTTTTGGGCTGATTTTGAAATGCTTGATGGGCTGATGAGTGACCTGTTTGTCTCATTTTTGTTGCATTTTTTGTGTTTATTTTATCTTTCTCTTTCCCCCATTTTAGGTCGTTTCTTTAGCTTTTAGTCCGTTTCGTGTTTTATTATGTGTTTTCCTTCATAGGTGTTTTTCGTTTGTTTTTCCGGTTTACTTTTGTGTTTTGTCATTTTTGGTGTGTAGGTTAGGAGCTTTGGGCGAATTTTCTCTTCCGGAAAAGAGCATAACTGAATAGAGGGGTTCGTTGGTGTCCCGCGGCCGCGGAGCCCTTCTGCAGCTGAAATCTCACGGCCTCGAAGCTTCCCGCGGCCGCGGAGGTCGCGACCAGAATTTTAAAAGCTTGATTTTGTTCGTTTTTTTGGGGACTTTGCATTGGGACTCGTTCCCAGACCCGAAAATCCCCCCAAAACCCATTTTTTTCCTTCTCTTACCCTAAGAACACCATCTTGACCTTGTTTTTCATTTGGATTTCTTCATTACTTTCTGATTAATTTTGTATTTCAGATTCAACTCTGAATTCTGTTTTAATCGTAAGTTTTCTATTCATTTAATCCATGAATATGATTGCTTTGATTGTTGTGGTTGATGGTGTTGAATTGAATATGAGTGGCTAATTCATTCTGCTAGGGATAGGGGGTGATTGTTCTCGTTTAATGTGTATTTGTCGGGCTTGATTCGTTTGTTCTTGTGCGAGTAAATTTAATTAGGAATTGATGAATTCTTGCTTGATGATTTGATATAACCTAAGAGTGACACTTAGGTTAATTTATTGATATAATCGAAGAGTGACACTTTGATTTTGCGCTTGAATATTGATTTGTTGAGTTAGAGTTTACTGATCCTACATGATTAGTTGATTAAACACCTTCTAATTGAATTAACGACTTTTAGAACCGAAAGGAGAGAAGTCGTAGACCTAGGCTCGCATGAGATAGATGATTTCGTAACTGAATAATCTATGGGTTTTGGATTGAAATACATGTTTGTCGGTGTCTTGTCCCTTGTTACGAAAAGTTATTGGGATTGGATACTTGGCCGGTATTGTATGCTCAAACTTGCTCGTCTATTTTCAATTCCTTGTTACGAAGAGTTATTGGGAGTGAACCGCTAGACGTGTAGGCGAGAGTGTCAATTCCAAACCGAACGATCAATTGCCTGGCTTTACGTTGCGAACTTGAATAAATTATCCCCGATTCCCTAGTTTCTTTATTATTATTTAGTTGGTATTTTAGGATTTATGCTTTTATGCTATTTCTTAGTTGATAGTTAATTCCTCCCCAATCTAATTAAAGTGTTTAGGATTTATTTTTCTTTTTTGTGTTATCAATACCAATTCTAAATTCCGAACCGCCTTCCTCGAGAGATCGACCCGGGAAACGAATCCTTCGATTCGGTACTCGGTAATATAACAACTTGTACACAACCAATTTGGCGCCGTTGCCGGGGAGGGCAAGTAGGATATTTGGTTTTGGTACTGATTTTATTTTCCGTGTTTCTCTTTGCCTTTTGTTTTTGGATTTTTGTTCTTTCTTTTGTGCATCTTTGTTTTTCTTTTTGTCTTCTTTTTCTTTCCTCTTCGTGGCTACGTGTGGTTGTTTTGTTTTGGTGTGCAGGAAATATGAACTTCAACCACGTGTTTCCCTTACCGCACACCCAGTCTTGTTGGGGTCACGAGCCGAGCTATCATGACGGGAGCTACTACCAGTCATATCCGTACTCTTCCGAGCAGTGTTGGGATCCCTACATAGTCGAGCAAACTTATGAGTCCCACGAGCATAATGAGAAGCTCGACCGGATTCTCGATTTTATAACATCTCAGTCAGCTCGAGAAGAAGAGGCCGCATTCAACAAAAAACTTGATCTAATCCTGACTCGAGTAATGGCCCAAGCAAGTCGAAGAGAGAGGTTGAGCTCAAATGTGCCCGATTGAGCGAGCAGTTGGAGAGTCTAGCAAGACGCATCAACTCTATAGAGTCCATGGTTATGGACCCACGTCCACAGCCCGTACCTTTCGATGAGCTTGAGGATGACTCTTCGGGATTCAACGTCAAACTTGATCTCATCCTCGATCGCATGATGGCCCAAGCAAACCGAGAAGGGGAGATTGAGCTCGGGTGTGCTCGATTGAGCGCTCAAATGGAAAATCTAACAGCACGTCTCGACTCTATCGAGTCAAAAGTCGACAACTCCCATCTTATGGTTGGTGCCCAAACGTGTTTTTCGATGCACATGTGTGAGACCGAAGAGGAAGATGATGCTCTCCAGTGGGACGACGATTTTTCGGCGGAGGAGATTCATGGACTTGATCAAGTCACCATTTCTCGAGTCCCTCCTCCTGCTACCGAGATGGAGCATTCACCTTCGGAGCCATCACACTGTGCTACCAAGTGGGCCAGATTTAGCTCGACTTGTCCCACGGATGTGCTCTATCCCTGAGGTTGATGACAGAGCTCGGGTGGGAAAAGCTCTATGTCAACTACTGGGGATTGCTCGTGACCATGTCAGGTTCCTCCAGAACACAGCCACCCGGATCCACCATGCCCGCCTTCTTGCCAAACTGTCTGGGCTACCACTTCTCGAAAATACGAAGGTGTGGCATGATCGTCATTTCTTTCTGGACCCTGGTTGAGTCGTACCCAGGTTTCATCAAGCTAATGACGTTAAACAAGCACTTCTTGGGAGGCAACCCAAGTAATTTATTGCTTTATTAGATATCTTCTTTTATGCTTTTTATTTTTACCTTTGAATAATGGGAGGTTTGGAGCTTTATGTTTTTCTTGGCAGGAACGAGTTAGCGAGCTCGAGCAGGAGGAATGACTTGAATGAGGATTATCGGGATTTGGGTTGAGCATGGGCGAGCGACTTGCACGTGAATGCTTATTTCCCTCGATGCTACTTCGGTTTGCACACATTTTCTCTTTTTACTTTTTTTTTTTGAGTTTGTTTTCTTCTTCTGTCTTGTTTTCTGAGTCTTTTGTTCTTGTGTTAGCTCCTAGTTTTGGTTCATGATATGAAATTGCTAGGTCCATTATTTGACTTCCTGTTTTGTGTCGAAGCAATGAGGGCATTGCCTTATTTTAAGTGTGGGGGAGTTATCGGATATTTGCATGCTTATATGGTGGGCCGGTCTAGTTTTAGGTTTTTGTTTTGTTGAGCATGTGGTATTGGTGAATAGTAGGACTTGTTGATGAATGTTTGATGAAAT